GATAATTGTTTATTAACGGTGGAATTCGCCACGGAGATGAGCTTTCGCCTTTGCCATTAAACAATGTTCTCGACTTTCTTATCTGCAACGGTGCTGACCCTGGCAAAGACTGAGGGCTCATTCCAAAGAGAAGGCCCAATTCAAGATATCCGGCTAGATGTCTTACTGACCTGGACTTTGCAGATTATATTGTCCTTGTGAGTCTGCGTATAAAAGTGCAGGAAACTGTGAGTTTCATCCCTGACTGAAAAGAGTTGAAAAATTCAGCCAAACCTGGACTTACCTCAACAGGATTGTATCATGTGTAAATATATCATTTGAACCTCCACCTTTTTAGATATCTTCCGTCATAGATAGCTCCATGAAAATACAGTAAATAGCCGTGCAAGGCAAAACCGTCAAGTACGGTACAATATAGACGCAATGGTTTTCACTCATACGAAAGATGAGAAAGAAAACCCAACAAAACAAGCCCCTCACCATATACGATCGATTTGATATAAAGAGTGAGGAGTTGGACTGCCCTCTACACCTGCTAAATAATAGCGCTGGTTTTAATATTAATTACACTAATTAAAACGTTTGACCTTTACTTAGCAACAGAAGTCAGGTGAGAAATTTTTTGCGATTGAAGGCTGCTTAGAACCGGATTGCTGAAGACTTGTCTCCCACGCTAAAAATCGTCGGATACGAGAGACGAACTTTTAAAAACAACGCCTCGAAACAAAATGCCTAGTTTTCTGTCCGGTGGCCAATGAAACAAACAGTTAAGACGTGACCCACGAGCATTAAATTGCAAATGTCACCATTGGCGCATCGAGGGGATGCAACGGCTGTCGCTGATGAACAATTGTTCAAGCAATTTTTATTTTTTTACTTGCCTCAGCTTCCTCAGACGTGAGTATCACATTCTCATGTCTTTGGAGTGAGTGCTAAACCTGGCAGTGTTTGAGTTTTTTCGAAACGACAATTCCTCATACAGGATGCCTTATGAAAGAGGAGGTAAAAGATAAGCAGGCGAACGAGAGGAGAAGAAGGCACGGGAAGACAACGTTGATGAAAAGAAGACTACTCGAACCGCGCAGGAACAACGGCTATCCACTGGTGGTCTGGACGCAGAAAGATGGTTGTCGAAATGATTGGTAGAACTGCAAGAACAATCGACATGGCTATGCCATGTGGAAGATCAAGGAAAAGAAAATAAAAGAAAACGGTTTAGTAAAACTAGACAGAGAATGGAAAGAATAAGGCCAAAAGGAGAATCAGAAAAGAAGCGGAAAAGGAAGAAAGAGAGAACGAGAAGGAAAATGAGATTGCTAGGATATGGAGAAGAAAAGGAGGTTGAACAGAACAAGAGGCACAAGGGAGAGTTCTAAGTTAGGTGATGGAAAAGAGAACAAAGGAGAAGGAGGAAAGAAAGTCGAAGGGAAATAGGCGATGGTGGAAACATGATCTATGTGAAGGAGAAGGAAAATATTAAATATTACAGGTATGAAGAAAAATGGTGGGGACAGAGGAGAGGAGGAGAGATGGTGAGTAGGATCACTGATGATGAAGAAGGAGGCTGAGAAGAAGAAACAGGAAAAAAGGTGGCGACGAAGCAGCGGAACGAGAAACTGCAGCCGAAGAAGGTATTTTAAGGAGAATATGAAAGAAAGCAGAAAGAAAGTGACAGGTAAAGGAAAATAGAGAACGACGAAGAGAAAACAGGAGTAGAACGAGGACGAAAAATCGAAGAAGCAGGGAGAGAAAAGAGTTCGACAGAACTTTAGATTAAGAAGAAAAAGGAAATAGACACGCTTAAATGCGAAGTATGAATTTCCTTACTTATTCTGAGCTAATTTATTTATTCCTTTAGATTCATAGTCATAGCGTAGTAGTATTGACTATGTCTGGCATGTATTTTGCTTGAGTTACAATTTTGAGTTTGGGTGCGACCGTCTGAGGTTTGTACCCTGTCCAGCCTCAGTGATTGCGTGTTGCCTCTGTGTCTGCTCATGCTCAGATGCCACGAAACCAAAACCTGCTAAATTGGTCCCCTAAATTCCCCCTAAGTCCTACGGATATAGAAGCAATTGGCCTGTGCAGCATTGTCGTAAGATCGTAAGACTCTATGTAATAACAGACTCCTCATTCACTGCTGCACTACCAGTGTACAAGTAGTTACAGTTAGGCGAAGTGGACAGAGCAATAAATCAAGAAGGAAGAGGTGAATTGAAAGGAACAGAGACCGAAGAGATGCTAAGTTCGAAACTTCTTAATCATTCTACGTGGGAAAACCTAAAGGGATCAATTATTTGTCGGCTAAGGTAGCTATATTGAATATAGCCATTCAAGATCATTCAGTTGGCGTCGGTGCTTTGGGATATGAGCATAGGTATTTTTTATGCAGGTTTTCTTGATCAGTGTCCGATATAAATATTCGGTACAGTAGTACAAAGACATCAACCAAATCTATCATTTAGGTGCTAAAGAGTTTGGCCTATATAGTGACAAGTCTGGCTGGTTGGTAGAGACAAAAAATTTGATCGAACTGCAAAATGATTTTTTAGAGATTTCATCACATATTACCATTGCATTTGATTCAGCGGCTTTTTCTGTCGCTAAAACCTTAAAGATAGATAATAATTCATAACCTATGCCTCGATCGACGTCTCTAGGTTCATGACTCCATCAAACTGAGGTAACGGTGAAACGACTACCTGAGAAGCTATGAAGGACATACATTATTAAGTTTCAGGTCCAGTTTTATTAGCCATAAGAAATTGGTGACATCCCTGCTTTACAACAAGTTCTCATAGAACGTGTTTACTTAAAGTCGACAAAACGAGCATGGAGAATTTTGTGCAGTCGAACGCTGAAAAAAGATCCTGCAGCAGATGCTGGCGCAGCTGGTTTCCGTTCATCACAGTACGGATGAGCTGAGGAAACACTGAAAGTTTATATTTTTCGGTTCTGGCCAGAAGGAAAACGAAAATCGCTGTCTTTTCCCCTGAGCAATAACTGTTCCGAATCAAGTTACTGTTAAGAGGACGAGTAGGATTAATGAGAGTCTTGCATATAAGGCCAAGCCAACAAATGCCTAGTTCAAACGCAATCGAGAAGTGTTGCAGGAATTCCCTACCTATTGGCCCCTTGCTAATTTTGAAGGTTTAAATGGTAGTGTTTGAACATGGTTTATGGAATATAGATTATAATTTGATATAATTAGTAAACACGCATTAAGATGCTGTTGCCTCAGCTTGTGCCGAAACTTTGAAAAGCCACTTTGGAAGTCCATGGAGATTGTGTTCATTCTCAAATCTACCGTAAAACGTCAGCTATATTTTGCGATGTTATTCCGCTGAATACCTCACAGCGTCAGCAGCAGCAGTTGATCCGTTGCTGGAGGCTTTCAGCGTCAATCAAGAATGCCCTCTGGGAGCCACGGCCAATATCATTAAAACCAGTGCGAAATAATATTCGCAAAGAATTAATCGTTCAGATCAGAGGTCACACGCGATCTATATGATTAACGGCCATGATTAATTCGTGAAATGCGCACATCTCGTTTACATTTGATACATATTGAAAACAAGCAACCTTGGTAAATTCGCAGACCGGTGCGGTTAATAACTATATCGGTAAGAATTCATTAATTAAACATAAATCTGTATATTAGTTATTGATACATTTACAATTGAAACAGCTAAAAGGCTCTAATTAAATTTTAAAGTTCATGATAAATGCTACGTTGCTTTTAAGCGACTTGCACATTATTAGGTGTACATGCCCATTAAATGAACTACGATCTATGCGTCACTATACTTGAGTTAACAATTAAAACTATTATTCAAGTCTGCCACTACGGTAAATGTGCATCGTTTGCTGTTAAGCCATTCCAAAACCGTTTTGTGCCATCCGTAACAACCAGAGAGAAGGTAGTTATTTTAAACAAGAAACGCCTATATGATGGATCTTAGAAACAGCACAGAACATGATTTATTTGCCAATCAGTCAGTCAGTGTCAATGACC